AAAGAACTCTCTGAGGATCTGAAAAAAAGAATTGTTGCTCTACATAAACATGGCCTAGGCTATAAGAAGATTGCAAACACCCTGAAACTGAGCTGCAGCACAGTGGCCAAGACCATACAGCGGTTTAACAGAACAGGTTCCACTCAGAACATCCCTCACCATGGTTGACCAAAGAAGTTGAGTGCACATGCTCAGCGTCATATCCAGAGGTTGGCTTTGGAAAATAGACGTATGAGTGCTGCCAGCATTGCTGCAGAGGTTGAAGGTAAATTATAAAAACATTCATAATACAGACAGAGAATTCTATAAAAAGTAATAATGATAATAATCTGCTCAAAATCATTCATCCAAATCACTCATTTTACACAAACTTCTTGCAGCTACTGAGTTTACTGTTTGGGTTAATTGAACAGTTCTGAATATAATATGGAATATCCATAATATATATGTCACTCAGTCAGGGTTTTTTTTAGCTTACTAATGATACAAAAGAGGTGCCTTAAGGAAAAAGGTTGTGAACCACTGACCAAATGACCACCATTTTAAATGTTTCCAATTGTATGGCTCACAGAAATTGAACTTGGACTTTTCGTACCCCCATTTTTTTTGTAAAATGAAGAATTCTAATGAAGAATAAGAACTTAAATTATATGTTGTTGCTAGGTTAAAATTAGAACATAATTTACTTTGTATTAGTGTGCCATACCCCATACCCAATATCACTCACCACCCCAGCCTTCATTGATATGTTCAATTTAGGATACTACTGCTGGTCTAAAAAATAAATAAATAAATACACAGATACTACTGCTTGCTGCTTCTATTTTTCATATCCAGCAGCCTTCAGTGTATTGCCAACTGCAATTTTATTTTTTATTTAAGCTAACAGACTGCAGCTAAAGCTGTGGTACACCAACATATAATTTGTTCTTCTACTATGTTCTTATTTATGCAGTTACACTAAGTTACTTAAGATTTTCCCTATATCGTTTGCCCCTCTTAATAATAGGAGAAGGCATTCCTGTTGGGCAGGAAAACTGCTCTGAACAGAGCCATCATGCTGAAATAAGGTATTTCCCATTAATAGTACAATAAAGGACAATAAAACTGTTTGACTCTAAGACTTTTTCCAGGTCGCATACTGGCTTTAATGGTGGAGCAGCTACTGTAGCGTTTGCTTCTGGCAATATTGAAGTAACCTGAAGTGCATGTACACCCACCCTTTGTTGTGAGTGGGATCTGCCTTGTGCTGAAGCAATGCTTTTGAACACATGACACAGACTAAACTAAAACAGAGTTCCCTACATTGTTTGGCACCAACCTGCAAAGGGTTTCCCATCCACACTGTTTTTTTTTTTTTTCAAACCAACCAACTGCAAGTTGCACATGAGTGAGTAGGGGGGTGCGCAGTGATGCAAAGAAAATAGTTTTCTTTTCACAGGTTAATACACACTCGTAAACACAAATCACTCAGCTCTGCTATGGTTAATTGAGAACAATTATATCATTAGATGCTCTAAACAGTATAAAAATTAAGACAATGGAAAGGACACATTTTAAACTGTACTTGTAAAAAAATATAGAACAATTCTAAGTTAAACATTTATAAAGGCCTGGTAGTGGTACGTATTACTCCAGTGATGTTGGAGATTTTCCCCAAGTAAAGTTCGACAGGAATATTGCATTCAGTTTATGTAACATATACTAGAAGCACACAAATTCAAAGAAAATAGTGTTGAATTGTTTATGCCCAAATGCACCAGAAAATAATTCAAAATATTTTGGTCCCAGAAAATATCTAGCATATTTTGACAATAATGTTTGTTCCTGTCTATTAAGTGTAGAGCTATGCATCAGTTATATAGACTGGGACAAGAGTACATTAAGGAGAATAACTCAATAACGTTTCTCTTGTATTGCATGTGTCATAGTAGACAAGTCTATATTAACTAACTTAACTATTATTAACTAATTTTGTTAATTTTTAGTTACAATGCTTATAATCATTCATTTGGTTGAAAGAATTTTGTAATACATTAACACGATTTCATTATATGATACAAATCTATTGTAAGAGATAGTAGCAATACCAACCTAAAGCCAAGAAGAACAACACAGAGTAAACTAAATAAAATGACATAAGTTTACCCAACAAAACATTTTTTTTTTTGTGTGTGGAACCTGGTGGGCCTTCACTTCACGTGTAGTGTCAGGCAGGCTGAAATGGTAACCTTGAAACGAAGGTGTGTAGTCAACTAAGGCACTTGAAAATGGTTACGTGAGCTCCATTCCCTGAGGGCATTTATGGTAGTGCTAGGCTAATTCCAGTACTTGGGGTTAGCAAACAAACAAGTAGGGCTGGAGCGGGTGGCACTTAAGCTTTGACCTGCCATGTCTGAGGAGAGTGTGTGACAGCATGTTTGAGGTTAACTGTTTGCATACATATTTCATGTCCTCCTGGAACTCTCTTTATCTCTCTTTGTTCCATTTGGAGGGGAGAAGAGATGCTAGGCAAAACAGTAGAGTGCCTCGAGCCACAGTCTCCTTGAAACAAATGTAATTTGTCTCTAAAGGTTGTCAAGACCCTTTAGCTGATGTTTGTTTT